GATTTTGGATGATATTGAGTTAGAGACTTAGCTACTTTAAAATGAACGTGAAAAGTCGACAATTTGAATAACAGCCATTAAAACTTCATCATGCATAATCTACAGTTTTCCATATTTTATAGCAGAAAATGCTTTTTTGGGTACTGTACCCTTTGTTTTACAATTTCCTGAAGTTTGGATCATAGAAAATTTTTTTTTTAAAAATATACAAAAATTTTGGTTGCCATAATGTTTTGTAACTGTTAGTGTTACATACGCATTAAGTCGACTTTATGCATATTTTTGCATAATATACGCATTAAGGGGACATACGTATATTTTTGCATAATATACGCATTAAGGCGACTTTATGTATATTTTTGCATAATATACACATTAAGGAGACTTTATGTTTATTTTTTTATATTTTGTAACCCGCGCATCTTAAAATATTCAAAATATGTCTAGCCCCGACAATAGAAAAAAACATTTTTTTATAAACAAATCATCCAAGAGAATTGTGCTTCTTTGCGCAAAACATGCGTGACGGAATTACCTTTCAAATTTAGCTGGAATTACAGTGCAGAAATTCCGTCACACAAGTGTGTTCTTGTCATGACTTAAGTTGTCGCTGGCTAAGAAAGCTTCTTGATTCGATAGATGATCATCACTCGACGTTGCTTCCAATGCGTGGATTGGATCTTGTCTAGCTATATATATATGTGAAATTTTCTGCAAAATCCATTTGGAGCAAACATTCCTCTCAGTTTTCTTCCTTTTATATGGACTTCGCGGGTTTATGTGATATCCAGTCATGGCACAAATTGCACCCACATTCTCATCATTAGCATTGCCCATTCTGTAATTTAGTTGAGCTGTTTTGGTAACGTGACAAATCTCAGATTTCTCTTCCATTCCCTATCAACATTATCATAATCCACTCGATTTACAGCTGATTTAAATGTTACTTTTCGTATATACTGTCTGTATGCTGTAGGTGGGGCTATATCTGAAAGAATATATGAAACTATATAATGCAATAAAATTCCATAAAGAGGTTTCTAGCAGACTTACTAATTGCTTTAATTTGGAAAAAGATTTGTAATTCCGTCACGAAAGAAACATGTTATTCCGTCACGCATAAATTTGGGAATAATATTTGTGATGAGAAAAATTTTAGAACATACTTCAATACTGGCATGCGTTCCCACATAACAATTTTTAGAAAAATAAATATCATACTTAGCGTAACGGAATTACAAGAATTGGTGAAAATGAAGATAACTTTTATTAATTTTACGAAATCATTTTCAGTCACTCAAATCTCATTAAATTGTATCAAACATAATGGGGTAAACATAAGGAAAACACTGATTATATAACATACCCATCTCTTCTGTTGTTCCACACAGCTTAAAGACTTCAGAAGAAAGGCCTTGAAAATTGGTATTTGGTGCGTTTAATTACTTTACCAGAAGCGTGAACTCATCACGCGTGCATGTTGGCTGTGACACGTCAAAATAAAAATTTCAGCTAAAATTGGTCGCTTAGAATGATAAACATTACATACATAATTCAAACAAGCGGTTGCCATGCAAGATACGCCCAAATTTGGCAAGACATAGATAGAGAAAAGCTAAAATTAAAAAGAAGCCATTTTTCGTACAATCAGGGGCCATAATCCAGGAAGTTAAGGTCCGATATGCGTGAATATTTACAGGAACCTAGATCTTCTGGAAATAGACATATTTTAAGTTTCATCAAAATCAGATAAGGAGCAGCCATTTTGTCCGACAGTGTCAGTCAGATTTTTATGAAATTCAAACTCAATTTTCATTGATGTGTAAAGGTAATAATGTTTTAAAAACTATCAGTAAAATATCAGTAAAATTCTAATTATCGCAACAAATCTAATACGAAGAGGCTAAAATCTGTAGGTACGGTGTGTTAATTAAGAGGGGTGAGAAATTGAGTGGTGATATAATTATCGCTAGGGGTGAAAATCTCGGCGACAGTGTGTTTTCTGTACCGGTGTGTTAATTAACGATCGGGTTAAAAACGACTGACACGGTGTGTATTCTTTGTTTGGTGAGTTTTCTAGAAAGCGTGTTATAACTGCACCAAAGGTGTTTTATCAAGGACCAACAGGCTTTATCTGATGCGTAGGTGTTAAATCTAATTTACTGTGCGATTTCTTGTTCGACCGTGTGTTTTACGCAGATCGGTCTTTGTTAAGTGTAGGTCTTTATACATGGATTTATAAGTGCTGTAGTTACATGTGTTCGTTCTTATACGTATTTCATTTCTTGATGAATACTACGTGTTTTATACTTCGTACCATAGTCGGGCTGCAATTATTTATATATTTGTCTTTTTTGTGGGTTTAATTTGTTTATATATTATCGTGCGTACCACTGAAGTATAAATGCGTTTGTCTTAAAATCAGTCGCATGCAATATCGTTATTACCGATATCCCGCTAAACCTTCGATCATTTGATTATCCGAAATATTCTAATCTCTATTGATATCAGATGCTCTAATCTGTTTTGAAAGCACAATTATAAACAAAAAATCTCGCAATTAATGATAACTTGTAAGTTTCGTCACTTGTTTCTCCCACGTGACCATATATGATATGTACATGGTAGAAATCGGTTAACCGAGGACTTGATACACTCGCTGTCCAATAAACACTAACCGCGGACCTGATACACACAATCATATTTTTCCGTTTTCAGATCACACACACGAAAGATACAGATCACACACACGAAAGATACACCCTAACTGTAGAATACCGCCTAACGCAAAGCACCTCAGTTCGACCTTAAAATCAAATGGGATATTAAATCCAGGCTTCTGAAAATCGTCACAGTCTTGGATTTAGTCCAAAAAGTCCTCGGTTGACACGGGTCCGTGATTAAAAGGTGTGTATTCAGATGTGTGTCCCCGACACACACACACACACACACACACACCAACACACACACTATTGTTTAGTTTTGGCTATATCTATTTTAGTGAGAAAACTAAATATCTGTAGATGGTTAAATATTTGTTAGACCTTTAGCTTCAAATTCTATCTAAAAAAGGTTGAACTTATAAAGGCCCTTGGCTATAGTTAAATCCTGTTACTGTTATCAAAAATTATTGATATTTTCTATAAAGGGAGATAACTCCTTTTACCATAAATGGATTTCCGAAATTCTGTATGTTCCCTTGTCCATTATGTTTTCTGCATTTTGCTTTAAATCAAAATTTAACCAACAGCATATTCTTTGCATAGTATGAAGACATCGGGTATTTTCGCCAATATTTAATTTTATGTCAACTTCACAATTATTAGTACAGTAGAATCTGTATGAGCAGCCACTCCTATTCAGCGACATCTCCTTGTAAGCGGTCACGATAAATTCCCCCCGTAGAAATTCTGTTGTTTCATCTCTTTATTCAACGGTCACTCCTCTAACGCGGCCAGCGGTCACTATATTACTAATAAATTCAACAAAACATCGCCCATTCAACGGCCATTGTTGAATGATACCATCTTGTCGTTCTTTGTAACACCCCCGCTAATCCCGTGAGTAGTAGTTAATTAACTGGACCCCCACTGATCAGGTAAAAAGAAATGTAAACATAACAATCAACCCGGGATTATCTGTTAATTAATCTTTTGTTTTATTAAACGACTAACCTGATCATTGTTTTCACGCGTAACGACACATTATTTGATACTGATTGAATAAAATAAAAGTACCGAGTTTTGTCACGATCATCTAGTATCTCTCTTAGCGCCTCCTATAATATTACATACAGAGTTACACCCCCTGTAAAAAGGAGATAAATTTAGCGATGTTTTTTGTTCATGTGCTTTTTTGATAAAATAAAATGAATTCATCGATTTTCTTCACAAAAATGGATAAATATTATCGAATGCATCACAATGGTAGACAGTAGTATCGAAGGTTGGTACAAAATGACAAGTTTACAGAAGTTATGTCCGAGATTTGAGTAAAGAATTTTCGTCCGGCGCAAGATTCAGCGACGGCCAAATTTACCGCTTCCAATGCATCCAAGCGTAATATTTAATTTATGTCGACACAAAAAGCAACGAGATTTTATTAAGAGGCCACTCCCGTTAAGTTATGTCCGAGATTTGAGTAAAGAATTTTCGTTCGGCGCAAGATTCAGCGACGGCCAAATTTACCGCTTCCAATGCATCCAAGCGTAATGTTTAATTTATGTCGGCACAAAAAGCAACAAGATTTTATTAAGAGGCCACTCCCGTTAAGCGGTCAGTTGTGAAAATTCCCTTGGGTGGCTGCTTAATGCAGATTCTACTGTATAAATATAGCATTTACTTGACAATTATCACAATTTTCATCTGGCCCTAAATCGAGTTAGTGCAGACTTTTTGCTTGGAACTCTTTGGATTTGTGTTTCTGGTGTTATAAGCTTTCCAAAAATGTATAGTTTGTTTATTTGGGAGGACCATGTAGAGGAACTTCACGCTAGAAATTTTGGCTGCAGGCCTAATCTTGCCAATTTTTTGTTCATCTTAGTTACTTGTCTAGTGGAACAAACTGGCATATCTAGATGTGAATCGGTTGAGAAAATTGAAATTAGTGGGGGTTTAATGCACCCTAATACACGGTGTGTATGTGATGAAACCTATTAATTTTCAACGATTTCTGATAACTCGCATTGTTACTGGCTGGTACTTGTTTTGTATAATAAATGTTATTATGCCATCTAGAAGAATTAAAAGCCAATCAAAATTTAATTATTTCTGATAATTACTCAATGGGTTGTTAAACCTGGTCAATTTTAGTGTCTTTTAAATGCTCCCATTACCTACAAAACAATTAATATGCGAACCCTTGTAGACAGCTCGAACAACTTAGCTTCTGTGGGCTATATTTTATATAATTCATAATGAATAACTTTGTCAATTGTCTGTTTACTTTGTCTAATATTTCTCAGGTTGTACAAATTAATCTAATCTGTATTGTTTTATCAGGAAAAATTACAAGCTCAACAAGAAGCTGAAGAAGAAAAACAAAAAGCTATTGAAGATGATAAACGTATGGAAAGAGTGCGCCAAGCTAGAGTTGAAGACCAGAAAAAAGCTAGAGAAGAACGTGAAAGAGTGAGAGAAGGTAACAGTATTCTCAAATTATTACACCATTTAATGTAGTAAAAAATGACATTCAAGGCCAGGAAATGTCAAGACTGGCATATATTACTGAGGTGGAACGCATGGTTGATGCAATATTTCATCCTCACTTGAGCTAGATATTGAATCAGTGTGTCCTGGAAAAAGACATTTTAGCTCAGCATTCCACTTAAAAAAGTTGTATTTGTGTCCTAACAATAGGTAAAATGAATGTAACAATCATTCACTCAAGGGAGGTAAGAACATCATAATGAAATGTTGAAAGTGTATTTCTTAAGGGAGAACGCGGGTCAAAAAAAATTGAATTTTCTAAAAAAAATTCACTTTTTAAGTAATGACAGTTTTTGATAGTTTGAAGTCTTCTCTTTGAGTCCCCAAAAACAAAATATCAAAAATTTCATTTTTTTTATGTAAAAAAGTACATTTTCTGTCGAATGGTAAACATTTCTGAACCTGTGCATGTCCGAATTTTGATAAAATAACGTCTAAAAAATCCCGATTTTAAGCCTCCACATGTCCATTGACAGCCATGTTTGATATACTGTTGGAAAGAGTAAACAAAGAATAGCATGATGGAAATAAAAATAATTTATTAATTCCCGTCAGTTTCCGTGTGTACTCGTTTTTCTAAGCGCCAAAAATGCTCGAGAATTTCCTTATTTGGTTAGGTGACCTGATCGCGGGGTCAATATATCCGACGTAATAACAACGACATCTCCTCATTGGTCTAACGGAATTCTGTCACCTAGCAACGGGATGCCGTGATGCGCACGCTATATAGACACAGTTAACCACTCTTTTTTGTATAACAATATTACTTTATAAGAAGTCCAAGACTACTATCGATGTCCCGCAAGCTTATTTAGCGATATTTACCCATGAATTTAATAGTTTTCTTTAATTATTTCTAATAAACCGTGATTAAAAAAAATAAAACATTTTATGGGGATCGTAATTTTTATAGCCGTGTCCAACTTTGTCGACCGGTAATTGTTTTTAGTCTTGTTTGTTATGACCCAAATAAAACCATTTAGTATGATTTACTTTTTGATGTGATTTTTCTCTGATTTGATTTTTTGGACGAAAATGCAATTTCAAATTACGAGATCTCAAAAAGTTACTAACATTTTTACTTGAAATTTGCAACAGTTATAGATTAAAGTCTTTTGAATGAGATAACAGAGAGTTTTTGTATTTACTGTTTTTATTTTTGTAAATAATTCATTTTTTAGTTCATGTTTCGTTAAAAAAAATCACACATTTATATAAATGCTTATAAATTAATAAAAATACAGTGGACACCAAATGTCTCTCTGTCATTTCCTAGCTTTATGCATTGTTTATAAGGTGTGAAAGTTTCAGAACTGTAGAGTTATTATTAACAGAGATCTAGCACTCCTACGAATTTCCCCATTTTTTCTTGATTCGTTGGTAACCATGGCAACCAATGTCCGATTTGGGATTTGATGAAAAAAATCAGCTAACTAAATGGTCTTTCTAGTATATACAAAGTTTCAACCCAAAATAACATTAAATAAAAAAATAAAAAATTCGCCCCTCGTTCCCCCTTAAAGATACATTATGGGAGATTCGATAACGTGTTGGCAGTTCTCACTATAATAGTTAAAAACTAGATAATGTAAAGGCAATTTGCTGAAAATTTCATTCAAATTGATCCACTATGAAGCGAGAACTAAGTGATTGAAATTTCCGCCTAGCCTCGATGATCATTACAAAAGTCAGTACGATAAACGGGATAGTCTCGATTATCCATTTAATCGTTAAATCATGAAGGAAAGTTATGCAGTAAATCGGCTCATAATCCACTAAAGATCGCAGGCTAGCGATGCCATCTAGACTTGATTATGGTCTGGATATAGGTTAATTAATGTCTAATTAATAATTTAGATAACATTTCAGGCCTAAAGAAAGACCTGCAATAGACAGATTTAGCTCTTGCATAATGTATGTTTAATTAGTTGTTACTCTTAATCAGATTTTAGTGTATTATAAATGTTTCATTAACGAAAAAAGTAAAAATATGCGACAACTGTTGTTGACTGCCCGAACGATTTAGCTGCTGTGGGCGTATGTTTCGTTGCCTGGCAACCTATCTTTACGTGTTTCGGACCTTCGGCTGAAACGCGTATTGTGAACTGTAAGTGTTTTTATTATTTATTTAGTCAGTTTGTGCAGCCAAAACTGTACATGGTGCAATTTGGGATATGAAAATGGCGAAAAATTTTGGCTTTAAAGGTTTGGGGTACTGGCGATTCTTTTTATTGTGGTCATATATTGTCGTCACCCCTGTCCGTCCGTCCGTCCGTCCGTCCACAATTGTTTGTGAACACTCTACAGGTCACAATTTTTATCCGATTTCAATGAAACTTGAAATATAGGTTTATCACCCTAAGATCTCGGTTCCTTTTCGATATTGGCATGTATCTGACTGTAACTTCATGGGATTATGGCCCCTGATTGTAATAAAAAACACGTTTTTAGCTTGTGAACACTGTAGAGGTCACAATTTTTATCCAATTTGGTTTAAACTTGAAATGTATGTTTATGACCCACAAATCTCAGTTCCTTTCAATATTCGCGCAAATCTGACCATAACTTTCTAAATTATGGCCCCTGATTGTATGAAAAATCGCGTTTTTAGCTTGTGAACCCCATAGAGGTCACAATTTTTATCCGATTTGAAAAACCGTTACTATATGTCAACATTACACCCTAAGGATGTTTGGGTTCCAATTTCGTAAAAATCGGACCGAAACTGACAGACAAAATGGCCGCCATTCGTTCTCAAATAGGGTAAAAATATGGTATATCAAGGTTGTGGACCCAATAGAGGTCACAATTTTTATCCGATTTTGTTGAAACTTGAAATGTAAGTTTATAACCCAAAGATCTTGGTTCCTTTCAATATTCGCGCATATCGAACCGTAACTTCCTGAATTATGGCCCCTCATTGTACGAAAAATCACGTTTTTAGCTTGTGGACCCTATGGAGGTCATAATTTTTTTCGGATTTAAAAAAAACGTATTATTATATCACTGTTACACCCTAAGGACGGCTGAGTTCGAATTTCGTGAAAATCGGCCAAAAACTGACAGACAAAATGGCCACTGTTCGTTCTCAAATAGCGTAAAAATATGGTATAGCAAGGTTGTTTCGATATTTGCACATATCGAATTGTAATTTTCTGAATTATGGCCCTTGATTGTAGGAAAAATCACTTTCTTTTTAGCTTGTTTTCTATCCATCTCTCGAAAATGTGGGCGTATCCTGCCTGGCAGCCACTGGTTTTCCGATTTTAAAAACAGTTTAATTACATCACCATTCTGCCATAATGAAGGTTGAATCTTATTTCGGGAAAATCGAAATGAAACTGCCCGACAAAATGGCCGCTCTTTGTACGCAAATTGTGTAGAAGTGTGTAATATGAAGGTTGTGGACCCTCTAGAGGTCACAATTTTTATCCGATTTTGATGAAACTTAAAACATATCTTTATATCCCGAAGATCTCTGTCTCTTTTGATATTTTCACATTTCAGGCCATAACTTTCTGGATTATTGCCCCTGATTGTACAAAATATCACGTTTGTTTTTAGCTCGCTCTCAATCCATTTCTTGCAAAATGTGGGCGTATCCTGCCTGGCAGCCGCTGGTTTAGAAGTAGCAAAAACAAAATCTTAAAATTCTAATCATATTTATCTTGGATTAACCATTTTATATTGAGTTTCAATCCCGAACGCATAGCGCATTACTATAAATCAATCAAATTGCTTATTAATACTCCCAAACTTGTCAATGAGTAATGCTACACAATTATCTTAGATTAATGGTTTCAGCTGATTGATAATTGCCGATAATGAAGCCTATCTCAAGTCATTAGTTATCATATTAATTAACCGTAACAAATAGATCAGCAGTGACTGACTATTTGATGTCGCATGATTAAAACAAAGGAAAAAAAATCGAAATGGCCGACAATTTATTTCAAAGAGAGTTAGGATGTTTTGATAGTTGAATTTCGTTTACTGTGGCTTCATACAACATGTATAAATATATCAGTATGGCTATAATGAGACATTATTACTTCAAATTATACTATCACCATGGGTTGGAAACGTAAGAACTATTCTGAAGTAAGAAAACTGTCTGCTTTTTTTTTTTCGAAACAAAAATTTAAAGAAAACTGGAATTTTGGCAATCCTTGGCTGAGAATTGACGTATACACGCAGAAAATGTTTTGTTCAATTTGTGAAAATTCAAAAGTAACCAATAGCTTTACATCTGGTTGTTCTGTGCTGAAGAAAGAAAGTATTGACACTCTTTTATCTGCAAAAGGTAAGCAGATTTCTATTTTACATTTCTTATTGTCGATAAATCTATGTGAGTGATTTATATGACAACATTTTCGATTTAATAATAACATTATTAGCTTAATATCTACTCTTATTAACAAAGTTTTAACTTTATTTTTATTTTTTAAGTCTATACCATACTTTTATTTACTAAGATAAGTTCACAATAGAGCATAAATGTATTTACATATCTGCTTTTCTCCCTTTCATTTAGATTTTTTCTTTTATGTTTTTCAGAGTGCTTTACAATTCAAAGACTTGCTAGTAGATAAACACACATCTTATACACATAACAGCAGTATTCAAGAATTTCAGAAAGCATTTGTTTGGGGGTTGCCGGCAGGTGGGCACGATTGAGATGGCAAGTTTTAGTCTGGCAAATAAGGCGAAGGCTTTTCACAATAATTTGCGTATAATATTTAATCTTCAAACAGGCATTGCTTAGTGACAAATAAAAGTATTGAAGTATTTCTTATCTGGAAATATATAAAACAAACCTTGGCCAAGTAACTAATTGAGAGATTGACAGTACTATTAAAACATGGTAAATAAAACCCTGAACAATTATTAATCGAAATATGACAATAATATACATAATAATAAGTTTTAAATACCTCAAAATTTGTGTGAAGGTCCACCTTCTCAATCGCTCAATTGACAAAACAAGTATGGCTTAAAATATTATGCTGCGTATGTGTTAATTAGAACAAAGGAACAATTATTACAACACAGGATACTGCAAAACGGAATCCATGAAACGTACTTTTCATTATTCTGCATGTCTTTTATGGAACAATCTGCCTTTTGATATAAAGATGTGTAAAAATGTTGAAAATTTTAAGATTAAACTGAAAACTCATTTATTTTGCACACTGAAGGAACCATAATATTCAACTGATGACATACTTATTATTTTTAACTTGCAACTGCATTCTATTTTATTTTGTGTGTAATTATAGTGTTCTTCCTATATTCTACTTGTATAATGTATATGTTTTGTAGTTTGGGAGTGACTTATCAAACTTCCCACTTTAAAATGCTATTGCATTTCTAATGATTTTAAATTTATCCTGATATTACATGTATATATGTCTTTGTAGCTTAGGAGGGACCTATGGAAGATTAGTTTTTTGGGGTTTTTTTGCAAACTAAATACGTTGCCTCATTAAATAAAGTTTTTATTATTATTATAACTAAAAATCAACCAGATCTTCAAAAATCATTTATCAATTGGGCTAATGTAAAGCAAAGGAGGATTTTGTAAATTGTATGATAATTAAATAATAGATCCAAAATAAAATTTTGTAAATTGTGTATGATATTTTAATATATGCAGAATAAAATTGTGTTACACTTTGACAATATTTGTTTTTTTATCATAAATTTTTGGCAGATAAAATATTCAAGTTGGTGGGAAAAAAATAACATCAATTTTTTTTTATATAAAAATAGCGATCCATTTTGGCGGAAAAAAAATTAAAGCCAGTGTGAGCCCTGGTCAACATAGATGTGGTTGGCCTCCATGCGTCTATTTATTGTCCCCCACCTTTTGAAGAAAGCAGGGTACTATTAAAATGGGTTCGTTCGTCTGTCTGTCTGTCTGTCCGTCACACTTTTTGGACACAATAACTCTCTTTCTAATTGAACTAGAATGTTCAAACTTGGTGTAGGTGTTTATTAGGTCAGTGCCTTGATGGAGTTCGAAGATGAGCATTTTTTGTTTAGGGTAAGCAGAGATGAACAATTTAATTGGTTGATGCTTTGGGACATAACTTTAGTTCTAATTAAGTGAGAGTGATGAAACTTGGTGTATAGTTTCATTACATCAATGCCTTGACTAAGTTCGATAACGAGCATTTTCTGCTCAGGGTAAGCAGAGCGATAAGCAATTTGTTTGGCCAAGACTTTGGAACACAATAACTCTCTTTCATGAGCTAGAATGTTCAAACTTTGTGTAGGTGTTTATTAGGTCAGTGCCTTGATGAAGTCTGAAAATGAGCATTTTCTGCTTCGGATAAGCAATTTGATTGGTTGATGCTTTGAGACACGATAACTTTAGTTCTAATTAAGTGAGAGTGAGACACTTGGTGTATAGCTTTATTACATCAATACCTTGACTAAGTTCGATAATGAAAATATTTTGCTGAGGGTAAACCGAGCGATAAGCAATTTGATTGGTTGAGACATTGGAACACAATAACTCTCCTTCTAATTGAGGTAGAATGTTCAAACTTGTGTATTAATATTGCTAGAATTTTTACTCTTATAATTAATGGTGCCATTTTATTTCATTAATTAATGTCTTTGGCCAATTGTACTAAAGGTGCACTAAAGATATAAGTGACAGGTTGACACATAGAAAGATTTATAGAGCCAAAACATAGCTGGTTCTGTGTGTCAACAAAATACATGTGATTGGAAATTTACCTATTGCATCATTTGGTTTACGGGACCAAAACATATCAGTAATTGCACAGGTTCAGGGTCATAAATACACTAGTTTTGTGCGTGTTGTTCATAGGTTCTATAAAAGAAATCATAGGAAACTTTTAAGCCAGATTTCATTAGATTCCGGAGAGATTACCATCTGAGTGCCTGGACAGCAGACAGGTTCTGGAAGGGAAAAGATATAGCAGTTTCTATCCACAGACTCGACCAGCGAGTCTGGCTGGCTAGTGTTTGAGAATGACTTTAGTATTGTAATCTATACTATGCTTGTACCATATGTAAGCAGCTATGATATATAAAATGTAAAAAACGAACTGTTGCATTGTTATTCCTGGTAAGACAAACGTCTTAAGAAAACAGTAAAAGTAAATACACAACGTGAAGGGGAAGCAAAGACAACCAGAGACAAATTCTAAACAATCACAAGGCTACTAAAATATGTAGTAAGAAAAGATGCATAGGTCGTACGTAGGATGTGGCGACCGGTTTGAGAAGTTCCGCTCTCCACGTCTGACAGAAGACCCATGGTGCTACACGTGGTGTAGGCGTTCATTAGGTGAATGCCTTGATGGAGTTCGATGATGAACATTGTCTGCTTAGGGTAAGCAGAGATAAGCAATCTGATTGGTTGATGCTTTGGGGCACGATAACTTTGGTTATAATGAAGTGAGAGCGATAAAACTCTGAATATAGATTCATTATATCATTACCTTGACTAAGTTTGATACACAATTTGTCAAGAAGCAGTGATAATTCTAACAGAATCACCGGTCGTGTGGAAAAGTGAGCGAGAGGTCAGGTGATGTAAAATAAAAAAAGCTATATTACGGCGTTTGCAATCTTTGTGAAATGAACACTTGGGAGTTTATGACAGAATTTATTGCTGTTTATTTAATGTCGTAAATTACATTAAAAGGAAGACATTTTCAGAAAATAGAGGAAAAAAACCCCTCGGTATCTTCGGTGAGGAATGTTGTCATTCGACAATACTCGTTATTTTTACTACCGGAAGCTATTACCGGTAGCATTGTCGTGTGTGTAGTTAGTTGTGGCCGAAGTTAGTCTATTCGGCTGAAGTCAGTCTATTCGGCTATTATTATTGCGTGGACTGGAACTAAAATGCTTTAAATAATCACAAATTATTGTTTTATTTCAATTTCAAAGAATTTCTGTCAGAGAAAATCGACTTGTCCCAGGTTGTAGGTGACAAGGAGTAGCGTCGCCTGTCCAACCTTGTGGGTTTTCTCCGGGTCCTCCGGTTTCTTCCCACTGCTAAAGACCCCTACGGGCAAGCGAATTATTGAAATAAAATGAAACCATATGTTAGTCCCGAAATGACCCAGTTTGTGTGGAGTGGAGTTTAATCCCATCTCTCTCACTCTCTCACTCTCTCTCTCTCTCTCTCTCTTCTTTGGATAAAAATGTAGAACTAAAAGACTTTGATTGAGCAAACAAGTACTGGATTATAAATTGTGCATTGATTTTTCTTTTACTAGAACGAGCTAATAGAATAAAGAAAAGAGAAGAAAGGGCTAGATTATTAGCAGAAGGTATAGAAGTACCTGAAGAACTACAAAATCTAGATAGTCCAGTACCTGAAGCAGAAGTTCGAGTTCAGTAAGTATTAATGGAGTGGCGTTATGATATTTTATAATTTTTCACTCTCATTATGTAAATTCATGTGTGGGAAAATTCTGTATTATATTCACTCCATGTCATATTAAATTTTTATACACCCACATTTTGATGTGGACGTATATTGTTGTTGCCCCTGTCCGTCCGTCCACAATTTTTTGTGGACACTCTAGAGGTCACAATTTTTATCCGATTTCAACGAAACTTGAAATATAGGTTTATCTCCCTAAAATCTCAGTTCCTTTCGATATTGGCATGTATTGGACCGTAACTTCATGGATTATGGCCCCTCATTTTACGAAAAATTGTGTTTTTAGCTTTTGGACCCTATAGAGGTCACAATTTTCATCCAATTTTGATGAAACTGGAAATTTAAGTTTATATGCCAAAGATCTTGGTTCGTTTCAATATTCATGCATATCGGACCGTAACTTCCGGAATTATGACCCCTGATTGTACATAAAATTGTGTTTTTAGCTTGTGGACCCTATAGCGGTCATAATTTTTATCCGATTTGAAAAAAACGTTTAAATATATATCTGTGCCACCCTAAGGGTGGTTGAGTTCGAATTTCGTAAAAATCGGAACCAAAACTGACAGACAAAATGGCCACCTCTCGTACTCAAATAGCATAAAAATATGGTATATCAATGTTGTGGACCCTCTGAAGGTCACAATTTTCTTCTGATTTTGATGAAAGTTGAAATGTAAGTTTATAACCCAAAAATCTTGGTTCCTTTCGATATTCGCGCATAATAATAATAATAATAATAAGGGTTCTTATAAAGCGCTAGACTCCAAACAGTACTGTTTGCTCAAAGCGCTAACAAAGTTTACAGGAAACAGTTATAAATATGAACACTGAAACAAGTAAGTTTTGAGTTTTTGTTTGAAGATGCTTAAAGATGGAGCAGTCCGTAGATGTAGTGGCAGAGAGTTCCATGTATGTGCTGCATTATAGGCAAATGATCTGCAGCCAAAAGTTTTCAGGTTATACTTTGGAACAGTTAATTAACACTGGGAACCAGAACGGAGTGATCTAGATGGAGAGTATTTGTGAATTAAATTACATAGATAGCCTGGTGCTGTGCCGTGTATACACTGATAAGTTAGGGTTAAAACTTTAAAGTTTATTCTTTGTCGAACAGGGAGCCAATGAAGAGATTTTAAAAGTGAAGTAACATGACAATCATTTTTGGAGATGGTGACGATTCGTGCAGCTGTATTCTGAAGCTTTTGGAGGCGATGAATATTTTCAGCAGAGATACCAGCCAAGAGGCTGTTGCAGTAGTCTGGCCTGGAGATGACTAATGACCTGGTTATGATTGCGGCAGCAGACTGTGTCAACAGGTGACGGATATTGCCAATATTTCGCAAGTGGAAATAACACCTTCTCACTATTTCCGAGACCTGCCTGTCCATATTTAGGGAGGCATCCAAATAAACTCCAAGATTTTTGACACATGGTGCAAATGGTATATTAAATTGAACAAAGTTTAGGCCACCACGCTCTACTTTCTCTCGACGTCTTGAAGGACCGATGATCATCGATTCTGTTTTGTTGTCATTCAGTTTTAACATGTTGTTGCTCATCCATGATTTCACAGATACGAGGCATTTCTCCACCTTATTAAGAATATCATGCTCATTCTCGATAGAAAATTTATCAGACAACTGGGTGTCATCAGCATATAGATGATATTAACTTCCTGAATTATGGCACCTGATTGTACGAAAAATCATGTTTTTAACTTGAGGTCCCTCTAGATGTCACAATTATTATCCGATTTAAAAAAACATTCAAATATATCACCGTTACACTGTAATTTTGGTTGAGTTCAAATTTCGTGACAAAATGGCCACCCCTCATACACAATTAGTGTAACCATCTGGTATATCAAAGTTGTGGATCCTCTAGAGGTCACAATTTTGATATGATTTTGATGAAACTTGAAATGGCCCCTGATTGTATGAAAAATCATGTTTTTAGCTTGTGGTCCCTCTAGAGGTCACAATTATTATCCGATTTAAAAAAAAAGTTCAAATATATCACTGTTACACCGTAATGTTTATTGAGTTTGAATTTTGTGAAAATTGGGCCAAAACTGACGGACAAAAGGGCCGCCCCTCGTACGCAAATAGTGTATAGCATCTGGTATATCAAGCTTGTGGACCCTCTAGAGGTCACAATTTTGATCCAATTTTGATGAGAGTTGAAATACATGTTTATAATCCAAAGATCTTGGTTCCTTTCGATATTTGCGCTTATTGGATCGTAACTTCCTGAATTATGGCCCTTGAATGTAGGTTGCCGTCCATGTAGAGGTCACAATTGTAGTCTGATTTAAATGAAACATGTGAATATATCAGCATTACACACTAACATCTTGGTTCTTTTTGATAATCACGTATATCTGAACGTAACTTCCTGGATTATGGCTCCTGATTGTTTGAAAAATCACATTTTTAGCTTGCTGATTCTCTATTAAAAACTGTTTAAATATTTCACCATTCCACCATAATGAAGGTTGAATTTGAATTTCGGGAAAATCGAAATGGAACTGCCCGACAAAATGGCTGCTCTTTGTACGCAAATTGTGTAAAAGTATGCAATACGAAAGTTGTGGGCCCTCTAGAGGTTACAATTTTTATCCGATTCTGATGAAACTTAAAACATATCTTTATATCCCAAAGATCTCAGTCCCTTTTGATATCTGCACATTTCAGACCATAACTTTCTGGATTATTGCCCCTGATTGTACAAAAAATCCTGTTTGTTTTTAGCTTGTTCTCTATCCATCTCTTGCAAAATGTGGGCCTATCCTGCCTGGCAGCCGCTGGTTGATAACTTATAGAGTTATGGCCATTGCTCGTACGAACCCTGACGCGACCTTCCACTACAACCAGTCAGATCCTCATGTAGTAGAGGCCATCGGAAGTATAAAAAAAACGAAACCAAATATAGATCTGTGTTTTAATCAGATTGACATTAAAGAATCTTTTGTATCATCTACTGACAGTAATTGAAATATGTGTGGATTTTCAGATTAGTGAAATCGAGAATCTTATTTAAAATCTCGTGAACAGTCTGGCGGCAACAGTTATTATCTAATCATGACTGTATCATAGAATCTTGTTAATGCGACAATTAATTGTTTTACAGTTTAAATATTTTGCTTTACATTTACCCAAAGAATTAGAATGCGACAATCTTTATGAACTGCCCAGATGGCTTGGCTGTTATATTGTGTGGCCTGGCAACTTATGTTATTGTCTGTTTTAGAATTTTAATTTATCATTTTTTAGGAATTTAACTGTGAATAATGAAGTGACCATAACCATGTATAAAGGTAATCGTTAGCCTATTATTAAGCCTCCACAAAAAGTTTAGATTTTTTTATACACCCACATTTTTAAGTGGATGTATATTGTTGTCGCCCCTGTCCATCCGGACATCCACAATTTTTTGTGGACACTCTACAGGTCACAATTTTTATACGATTTCAACGAAACTTAAAATATAGGTTTATCTCCAAAAGATCTCGGTTGCTTTCGATATTGGCATGTATCGGACCGAATCTTCATGGATTATGGCTCTGATTATACGAAAAGTCACGTTTTTAGCTTGTGGACCTTATAGAGGTAACAATTTTTATACGCCTACATTTTCATGTGGACGTATATTGTCGTCGCGTTTTTAGCTTGTGGACCCTATAGAAGTCATAATTTTTATCTGATTTAAAAAAACTTATTATTATATCACCGTTACACCCTAAGGACGACTGAGTTCGAATTTCGTGAAAATCGACCAAAAATGTACAGACAAAATGGCCGTCGTTTGTTCTCAACTAGCGTAAAAATATGGTATATCAAGGTTGGGCCCTATAGAGGTCACACTTTTTATTCGATTTTGTTGAAACTTGAAATGTAAGTTTATAACCCAAAGATCTCGGTTCCTTTCGATATTCGCGCATATCAGACCTTAACTTCCTGAATTATGGCCCCTGATTGTACGAAAAATCGCGTTTTTAGCTTGTGGACCCTATAGTGGTCATAATTTTTATCCGATTTAAAAAAACGTATAGAGGTCATAATTTTTATCTGATTTAAAAAACTGTATAATTATATCACCGTTACACCCTAAGGACGACTGAGTTCGAATTTCGTGAAAATCGGCCCAAAATTGACAGACAAAATGTCCGCCATTCGTTCTCAACTAGCGTAAAAATATGGTATATCAAGGTTGTGGACCCTATAGAGTTCACAATTTTTATCCACTTTTTTTGAAACTTGAAATGTAAGTTTATAACCCAAAGATCTTGGTTCCTTTCGATATTCGCGCATATCTGACCGTAACTTCCTGAATTATGGCCCCTGATTGTACAAAAAATCGCGTTTTTAGCTTGTGGACCCTATAGAGGTCATAATTTTTATCCGATTTAAAAAAACGTATTATTATATCACCGTTACACCCTAAGGCCGACTGAGTTTGAATTTCGTGAAAATCGGCCCAAAATTGACTGAAAAAATGGCTGCCGTTCGTTCTCAAATAGTGTAAAAATATGGTATATCAAGTTTGTGGACCCTCTAAAGGTCACAATTTGCTTCTGATTTTGATGAAACTTGAAATGTAAGTTTATAGCCCACAGATCTCGTTTCCTTTCAATATTCACATATATCAGACCATAACTTCGTGAATTATGGCTCCAGATTGTTTGAAAAATCGCATTTTTAGCTTGTGTATTCTCTAGGGGTCACAAATTTTTTTTCCGATCTTAAAAACCGTTTAAATATTTCACCATTCCACCGTAATGAAGGTTGAATTCGAATTTCGGGAAAATTGAAATGTAACTGCCCGACAAAAATGGCCGCTCTTTGTACGCAAATTGTGTAAAGGTATGCAATACAACGGTTGTGGACCCTCTAGAGGTCACAATTTTTATCCGTTTCTGATGGAACTTAAAACATATCTTTATATCCCAAAGATCTCAGTCCCTTTTGATATTTGCACATTTCCAACTATAAAACTTTCTGGATTATTGCCCCTGATTGCACAAAAAATCCTGTTTGTTTTTAGCTTGTTCTCTATCCATCTCTTGCAAAATGTGGGCGTATCCTGCCTGGCAGCCACTGGTTATTAGTTCAATTTGAAAAGTCTTTGAAATAAAATTAGTGTAAATTATATAATTATGGAATTTATTATTAATTTATTTTCAGTTCTTGATGCCATTAAAAGTCATCGTGATTCCTGGTTATTCTGGGAACCTGTAGAAGAAACTTTTGCACCTGGTTATTTTGATGTTGTAAAGGTATTCTTTTTATTTTTATATGCCTACATTTTAATGTGGCCGTGTTATTGTGACCCATCAACCTATTAAAGTAGTTGTGCCTTTTGCTATTTAGGAATTTCTTGGATTTATATTTTTTGTCCATGGAAACAAATTTGACTTAGTTTTTGGTGTGCAATTTTGTTTCCGGAAAATATCTCAAGATATATTCAGGAAACTTTGTACAAAAATTAACCTATTATAATAGTTGTGCCTTTTGCTAATATGAAATTTCTCGGATTTAATATTTTTTGTGTTTCCATGGAAACAAATTTGTCTTAGTTTTGGTGTTCAATTTGTTTCCGGAGCTTATCTCAGATACCATTCAAGATATCTTCATGAAACTTTGTACAAACATCAACATATTATAGTAGTTGTACCTTTTGCTATTGAGGAATTTCTTGAATTTAAATTTTTTGTGTTTCCATGGAACAAATTTAACCTCAGTTTTTGGTGTCTGTGTCTGTCACACTTTTTGGGACACAATAACTCTCTAATTGAGGTAGAATTTCCAAACTTGGTGTTGGTGTTTTTTAGGTGAATGCCTTGATGGAGTTCGAAGATGTGTGTTTTCTGGTTAGGATAAGTAGAGATAAGCAATTTGATTGGTTGATGCTTTGGGACACGATAACTTTAGTTCTAATTATGTGAGAGTGATGAAACTTAGTGTATAGTGTCATTACATCATAACCTTGACTAAGTTCGAAAATGATCATTCTCTGCTTAGGCTGAGTAGCAATAAGCAAATTGATTGGTCAAGACTTTGGAACATAACAACTCTGTTTTTTATTTGCGAAGAATGATTAACCTTCATGTAGATTTTCATTAGGTGAATGCCTTGACTGAGCTCAATGATTAACATTACCCACTAAAGCTAAGTAGAGCTAAGCAATATCATTGGTCGATGGTTTGGGACAAGAGAGAGAGAGAGAGAAATGGGGTTTAACGTCCACTGAACACAAACTAGGTCATTTCGGGACTAACAAATGTTTTTTTCTTTTATTTCAATAATTTGCTTGCGCGTAGTGGTCTTTAGCAGTGAGAAGAAACCGGAGGACCCGGAGAAAACCCACGAGGTTGGACTGGCGACCCTACTCCTTGTCACGTACAACCGGGGATTCGAAACCACGCCAGTTGACTCAATGACAGGCTTTCTGATACAGCGCACGTTCTAACCATTCGGCCATCCAACTTCCCCTTTGGGACAAGATAACTTTGATTTTAACTGATGGAGAATGATAAAACCTATGCTTGTTAGTATAGACTAAGTATAGATAATCAGTTTGATTGCTCAGTATTTACTTTGGGATTTCAACAGGGGACATCAGCCTTACTGTTGGCTTATGCTATTTAGGAATTTCTTGGATTTTTATTTTTTGTGTTTCCATGGAAAAAAATTTGACTTAGTTTTTGTTGTACAATTTTGTTTCTGGAGCATATCTCATAAACCTTTCAAGATATCTTCATGAAACTTTGTACAAACATCAACCTATTATAGTAGTTGTGCCTTTTGCTATTGAGGAATTTCTTGAATTTATATTTTTTGTGTTTCCATGGAAACAAACTTGAATTAGTTTTTTTGAAACCTTGCACACACGTCAACCTATTACAGTAGTTGTGCCCATTTGCTATTTAGCAATTTCTTGGATTTATATTTTTAAACAAATTTGACTTAGTTTTTCGTGTACAATTTTGTTTCTGGAGCATGTCCCATAACCCAATCGAGATATCTTCCTAAAACTTTGTACAAACATCCTTTCAAGAAATCTTTTTGAAATTTTGTACAAACATCAACTTTTATTTTCTGATGTATAAGCTTATTTTTTAACATACAGTGCTCAGCTGATTGATGTAGGCAAAGGTTGTTGTGCATACCTTACAGGGAGTCACGACCCTGTCTCGTTTTCCTTATGCCTTCCAAACAATTGCAAGAGCGCGTGGTCCTTGTATCACTTTGTTGAGCCTCATGAACACTCAAACATCGAAAGTTATCATCAGATCTATATTAAATTTACATTAGGTGTCATGTACAACTCCATTGCTCGCGTTGGAAGAAAGTGGTTTTTTTCCCAATTTGTAACCTTTTTTAAACTTAACGTCACATAGTCGCTATTTAATCTTTTGCAATATTTTTAACATATTTTGAAAGCTAATTTCTTATTGTTTTGTTTGATATATTTTTTATGAACCTGATCATATTATTAATTTCATAAACGTAGGTTGAAAAACGTCAATTTTGCGTGTTTTGACGTTACTGTAAAAAAATTGGTCACGTTTTGAAACGGGGGTACCCCATTTCAAGTGCTCGGCGGCAGTTGTTATTATTAATATATTTTTTTAATTTTGATACCATTAGAAAGATAATTAAACTACCTTTCGATCGGTCGGGGGTGGAATTTTGGCATTTAAGAATATGATGTATATTTTTCAAGTTGAAAAAACAATTCACGCTCACTTTTTATGAGGCAATTTGTCAAGATTCCACCCCCGACCGATCGAAAGTTTGTTTTATTGCCGTTCCGATGCTATTAAAATCAATAAAATCAAAGCATGTTAAGTGCTGCCGCCGAGCACTTGAAAATGGTATACAACCTGACATTTTGTAAACGAATAAACCTCGCAGTGTTTCGTGTTATGACGTCATTAGACACGGTGAAGAAAAACTGTATTTCAAGTTCCCAAGACCCATATTCGCGGTAAATTACGTCGAAATGCAACTGAATGTTCATTTATGATGTAAGCATTATGTTATATGAATAAAGGACTTGTAGTCCGGACGCCAGGGCCGAGAACCAACTTTTGTTTGATATATAATGTTTCTCGGTGGATTATTGTTGGGTAGGGTCCCCTTGATTTTTCCAGGGTAGGTGTGGTCGTGTCACCATTGGGGAAAATTAAATATTCAAGATGGCAGCCAAAAATGGTGAGAAAAATACAAAGAAATCATTTTTCACCATCCTAGGTCATTAATATATCGTTTTATATGTTTTCGGGGTCGCTGAACACGAAAATGGGCAATTTGCTACTGAGGAATGTTTTTCAAAAGTGAACCCCTTTCCTGGTGTTGAGAGAAGACATAAAAATATTTTGATTTTATTTATTTTTTAAAATCTGGCCTGATAGCTTCTGATTTTAAGATAATACAATTAATTATCTATATTGATGTCATAAATATTGGAAAATAATGCTTTTTGCAAAAAAAATAACTGGTTGCTATGGTAACAACTCAAACTCCTTCATATTTCTCTCAAACTTACACAATCCATATAATTTGATATTGCATGGGTTTCAAATATTTTAAATTGCCTACTTTAAAATGTGGAGATCACCTTTTGGGTTATCGTAAATAGGATTGAAAATGGTCTAAAATTGCATTTTTTTCCATTTTGGTTGCTATGACAACCAAAATAGATAATATATGGCAGATTAGTAGTATGTAATTTTAAAAATTCACAAACTTTTTGACATGTTCACATAATTTCACTTATGTATCTCCGTTGAAAATGGTATAAAATTGCATTTTTTTCCATTTTGGTTGCTATGACAACCAAAATAGATAATATATGGCAGATTAGTAGTATGTAATTTTAAAAATTCACAAACTTTTTGACATGTTCACATAATTTCACTTATGTATCTCCATTCCTTCTTATTTTATTAATGTCCAAAAAATGCCCCAAAAATAGGCAATTTGCTCCCGTGGAAAATTGTTCAAAAATGAACATATATCCTGCACTTGAGAGAAGGCATATGAATATTTTTCTCCTTTTTTTTCCTGTTAATCTTACTTGATAGCTACTGATTTTAAAATGCATAACAACCAGGTTCAATATTTCAGATATAACATGGACAAGACAATTTTTGATGAAAAAATTGACCAAAATCACTTTGACAAAATATAATTTTTGCGAAAACCTATATATTTTGGAGTTGCTTGGGAAATCAGAGTAATTGTTACAAAAATGTGAAAATCGGAACATAATTAGTTTTAAAGTTGTATTTCATGAATTTACATCTAAATTTTTGATAGTTTTGCTATGAAATGAAATATGACATTGCAAAAAACACCAAAAATGACTTTTTCAAGGCGTTGAAAAACCTTTCTTCTGCGAAAAGTAAAAAATTGCAACTTTGAGCCTCCATAAAAAAAAAAAAAATGTTCATCCGATTTTGAATCTGTAAAAAGTTTTGGGAGAAGAATGATGAGATCTACTTGAAAAACTAATAAAATCAAATGTATAATCATAATCTCAAAATCACCTTTTCTATCTATTTACATGTATTATTTAAATTAGTATTATTTAATTTGGTAAATTGAAGAAGCCTATTTTATTTCAGCAATTTGCATTTATAACTTCTAGAGATTGACCCTTGTTTCACTTTGTTGATAACTACAAAAGTGATCATCCGATCTGTATGAAATTTAGATACATTATATAAATTAGTAAAACGAAGAAGCCTATCAAATTTCAGCAGTTTGCATTTATAACTTCTAGAGTTTATGGCCCTTGTTTCACCTGCGTTATTCAAATTAATAAAAAGAAGAAGCCTATCGAATTTCATCAATTTCCATTTATAACTTCTAAAGTTATGACCCTTGTTTCACTTTGTTGAACTTTGTGAACGCTCTGTCTACAAACGTTATGATCCGATCTGTATTAAATTTACATGCATTATTTAAATTGGTAAAACGAAGAAGCCTATCAAATTTCAGCAAATTCCGTTTATCAATTCCTGAGTTATGGCCCTTGTTTCACTTTTCACTTTGTTGCACCTTGTGAATGCTCTAGAGACAAAAGGACCCGGAGAAAACCCAAGAGGTTGGTCTGGCGACCCTACTCCTTGTCATGTACAACCGGGGAATCGAAACCCTGCAAGTTGACTCAATGACAGACCTTATAATGCTAACCATTATATGCATTACTTATATTAGTGAAACGAAGAAGCCTTTTGAATTTCAGCAAATTCCATTAATTTCCTCTAGAGTTATTACCCTTGTTTCATATTGCTGCACGTTGTAAACATTTTAACGACAGAAGTTATCATCCAATCTGTGTGAAATTGATATGAAAAACAAATAGGCCGCATTCCATGGGAACAAATTCTCGTTGCAAAATATTTTCGTTCCTTCAAATTCGGTCTAGAAGAAATTTTATCGGTGTATAGTTAATATAGTAACAAGCGTTTGCTGTGTTGTTCAACAAAAAATTTAATAGTTCTTCGATGATATTCTTCATTAAATTCCGGATTAATTATCAATAGTAAAATTCATAGTGCGCAAGGTTACTGGACAGAGTTCAAATTTGTTCACCGCATCATGCGGTCGTTTAGTCCACAATCGACTAATCATGTCATTGTCTTCAATCGCTTAACTTGGTTGTTGATAAACACAAAATGGCGAGCACCATTAACACATTGCAGCGATAGAATGTATGTATACTACAAGAAATGACCACAAAGCCTCAGATATTTTGTATTGTTCACCTAGACAGTGTAAAGAAGGAAGGCGGAGAACCCTTCACAAAGACAAGGTAGGACAAATGTTGTGAGGTGGCTAGAGAATGGTTAGAATTGGATGGAAATGACCAATCCATTGCAGCATTTTTTAATACAAATGGATTGATCACGAAGGTTATTGAAGATACAGTTGATAGTGGTTATGGATTTCACCCAATGTGTTATACACGTTTTACGGACAAAGCAAGGCTCATAAAAGCAGTTAAAAGATGTGAGAAAAAAGCAAAAATAGAGAGTGAGAAGGCAGCATCTACAGTCAACCCAAATACAACTACTACTTCTAGGCCTAGTACTAGTTGTACTTCATCATCTTTAAAAACTAAGAGTAAAGGTGTTTTTTGTTCATCACCTACTCCATCATTGATCTCATCAATCTTCCTACTACTTCATCATCAGAGCTAAGGAAGTCAGTCTTACCAGATATCTGTATCATTTGCAAGAAAAAATCCAAGTATTTTCGAGTTGGAGGCACACAAAAGAGAGACAATTTAGTCCAGTGCGAAACAAAACCAGCAGGTTAGACATTATGTATGAATTTATTTATTGCAATAACACTTTCGCTGTTTTGATAAGTCCGGTGAAAAAAATAGCCTAATTGTAACTAATAACTCCTCCAATAAATTCTATTTTATATTTATCCTGGGTAGTAAAAAAAATGTTTTTAAGTCAAAATCGCAGCTGGAAAAGCCTAACTTTTGACTTATGTAATCTGCTGGAACCAGTATTTGTCCACGGAGGTAATTAGTGTCAGATTTCATCAAGTTCATCAACTACATGTACATGTATATAGTACCCATTCTAATTGTTACAAGAAAACTATTAATCAGACTGAAGATTGGAATATTCAAACTATTCTTGGTGCTTTTATCGATGATAACATACACATTTGTAGGTGTGCCCCATATTGACGAGGGTCTCTATCTGGTTCTTTTCGCATTTGCAGACAAATACATTTTTATACGCCCACATTTTCATATGTATTATGCCGTCGCCCCTGTTTGTCCGTCCGTCCCCAATTTTTATACGCCCACTTTGAAATGTGGTTGTATATTGTCGTCGTCCCCGTCTGGCGGTCTGGCATCCACAATTGCTTGTGGACGATCTAGAGGCTAAAGTTAATATCCCTTTAAATTTATACACAGTGTTTAAGGTCATGAGACGAAGAAGTCCATTGATTTTCAGCGATTTCAGATAATTACTGCCAGAGTCCTGGCCCTTGATCACTTTGAAAAAAATCTTGTGGATGCTCTAGAGGCTAAAGTTAATATCCGATTGACTTTAAATTTATACACAGTGTTTAAGGTCATGAGACGAAGAAGTCTATTGATTTTCAAAGATTTCCGATAATTACTGCCAAAGTTATGGCCCTTGATCACTTTGAAAAATCTTGTGACGCTCTAGAGGCTAAAGTTATCATCCGATTGACTTCAGATTGATACACAGAGTTTAAGATCTTGATACGAACAAGTCAATTTTTATGACTTGAACAGCTAAATCCATGATATTAAAAGTTTTTTATACTAAGCGTTAGCATGGGGCAGAACTTTATAAAAACCAAACAAATTCTAATGGTTTTCTGATAATTACTTCACGACTTGTTACTCTTAATCAGATTTTAGTGTATTATAATTGTTCCATTACCGAAAAAAGTAAACATATGCAACAACACTTGTTGACTGCCCTGACGATTTAGCTGCTGTGGACGTATGTTTCGTTGCCTGCCAACCTATCTTTTAGCTTGTGGTCCCTCTGGAGGTCACAATTATTATCGGATTTAAAAAAACGTTTGATTATATCACTGTTACACCGTAAGGAAGGTTGAGTTTGAATTTCGTGAAAATCGGACCAAAATTGCCGGACAAAATGGCCACCCGTTTGTATGCAAATAGTTTAAAATTATGGTATATCAAGGTTGTGGACCCTGTAGAGGTCACAATTTTAATTCGATTTTGATGAAACTTGAAATGCATGTTTATAACCTAAAGATCTTGGTTACTTTTGATATTTTCGCATATCGGATCCTAACTTCCTGAATTACGGCCCCTGATTGTTCGAAAAATCGCCTTTTTTAGCTTGTGGTCCCACTGGAGGTCACAATTATTATCCGATTTAAAAAAACGTTTGATTATATCACCGTTACACCGTAAGGAAGGTTGAGTTCGAATTTCGTGAAAATCGGACCAAGATTGCCAGACAAAATGGCTGCCGCTTCTACACGAATAGTGTAAAAATATAATATATCAAGGTTGTGGAGCCTGTAGAGGTAACAATTTTAATTTTGATTTTGATGAAACTTGAAATGTATGTTTATAACCCAAAGATCTTGGTTCCTTTCGGTATTTGCGCATATCGGATCGTAACTTCCTGAATTATTTCCCCTGATTATACGAAAAATTGCCTTTTTCTGAAGGTCACAGTTATTATCTGATTTTAAAAATCGTTTGAATATATCACCGTAGCACCATAAGAAAGGTTGAGTTTGAATTTTGTGAAAATTGGACCAAAACTGTCGGACAAAATGGCCTCCGCTTGTACGCGAATGGTATAAAAATATGGTATATCAAGGTTGTGGACCCTGTAGAGGTCATAATTTTAATCCGATTTTGATGAAACTTGAAATGCATTTTCATGTGGACGTATATTGTCATCGCCCCTGTCCGTCTGCCCGTCCACAATTGTTTGTGAACAATTTCGTAAAAATCAGACTAAAACTGACTAACAAAATGGCTGTCCATAGTTCTCAGATAGCGTAAAAATCTAGTATATCAAGGTTGTGGACCCTATAGAGGTCACAATTTTTATCCGATTTTGTTGAAACTTGAAATGTAAGTTTATAACCCAAAAGATCTCAGTTCCTTTCGATATTCGCGCATATCGGACCATAATTTCCTGAATTATGGCCCCTGATTGTATGAAAAATCACGTTTTTAGCTTGTGGACCCTATAGAGGTCATAATTTTTATCCGATTTAAAAAAAACGTTTGAATATATGACCGTTACTTCCTGAACTATGGACCCTATAGAGTTCGTAATTTTTATCCGATTTAAAAAAATGTTTTAATATATTACCGTTACACCCTAAGGATGGCTGAGTTTAAATTTCGTAACAATCGGACCAAAACTGACTAACAAAATGGCCGCCCATAGTTCTCAGATAGCGTAAAAATATGGTATATCAAGGTTGTGGACCCTATAGAGGTCACAATATTTATACGCCCACATTTTCATATGGACGTATTATGCCGTCGCCCCTGTCCGTCCGGACGTCCGTCCACAATTTGTTTGTGGACACTCTAGAGGTCACAATTCTTATCCGATTTTGACGAAACTTGAAATATAGGTTTATCTCAAAAAGATCTCGGCTGCTTTCAATATTGGCATGTATCGGATCGAAACTTCATGGATTAAGGCCCCTGTTTGTACGCAAAATCACGTTTTTAGCCTGTGGACCCTATAGAGGTCACAATTTTTAACCGATTTTAAGTTTATAACTCAAAGATCTCGGTTCCTTTCGATATTCGCGCATATCGAACCCTGATTGTACAAAAAATCGCGTTTTTAGCTTGTGGACCCTATAGAGGTCATAATTTTTATCAGATTTAAAAAAACGTATTATTATATCACCGTTGAACCCTAAGAACGGCTGAGTTTGAATTTCGTGAAAATCGGCCCAAAACTGACAGACAAAATGGCCGCCGTTCGTTCTCAAATAGCGTAAAAATATGGTATATCAAGGTTGTGGACCCTATAGAGGTTACAATTTTTATCCGATTTTGTTGAAACTTGAAATGTAAGTTTATAACCCAAAGGTCTCAGTTCCTTTCGATATTCGCGCATATCGGACCGTAACTTCCTGAATTATGGCCCCAGATTGTACAAAAAATCGTGATTTTAGCTTGTGGACCCCATAGAGGTCATAATTTTTATCCGATTTAAAAAAAAACGTATAATTATTACACCGTTACACCCTAAGGACGGCTAAGTTCGAATTTCGTGAAAATCGGCCCAAAACTGACTGACAAAATGGCCGCCCCTCGTTCTCATTTAGCTTAAAAATATGGTATATCAAGGTTGTGGACCCTATAGAGGTCACAATTTTTATCCGATTTTGTTGAAACTTGAAATGTAAGTTTATAACCCAAAAGATCTCAGTTCCTTTCGATATTCGCGCATATCGGACCATAATTTCCTGAATTATGGCCCCTGATTGTATGAAAAATCACGTTTTTAGCTTGTGGACCCTATAGAGGTCATAATTTTTATCCGATTTAAAAAAAACGTATAATTATTACACCGTTACACCCTAAGGACGGCTAAGTTCGAATTTCGTGAAAATCGGCCCAAAACTGACTGACAAAATGGCCGCCCCTCGTTCTCATTTAGCTTAAAAATATGGTATATCAAGGTTGTGGACCCTATAGAGGTCACAATTTTTATCCGATTTTGTTGAAACTTGAAATGTAAGTTTATAACCCAAAGATTTCGGTTCCTTTCGATATTTGCGCATATCGAATTGTAATTTCCTGAATTATGGCCCTTGATTGTAGGAAAAATCACTTTCTTTTTAGCTTGTTCTCTATCCATCTCTCGAAAATGTGGGCGTATTCTGCCTGGCAGCCGCTAGTTATCCCATTTTGTTGAAACTTGAAATGTAAGTTTATAACACAAAGATCTCAGTTCCTTTCGATATTCGCACATATGGCTGAGTTCGAATTTCGTGAAATTCAGCCCAAAATTGACAGACAAAATGGCCGCCCTTCGTTCTCAAATAGCGTAAAAACATGGTATATCAAGGTTGTAGACCCTATAGAGGTCACAATTTTTATCTGATTTTGTTGAAACTTGAAATATAAATTTATAACCCAAAGATCTTGGTTCCTTTCGATATTCGCGCATATCGGGCCGTAACTTCCTGAATTATGGCCCCAGATTGTACGAAAAATCGTGATTTTAGCTTGTGGACCCTATAGAGGTCATAATTTTTATCCGATTTAAAAAAAACTTATAATTATTACACCGTTACACCCTAAGGACGGCTAAGTTCAAATTTCGTGAAAATCGGCCCAAAACTGACAGACAAAATGGCCGCCCCTTGTTCTCATTTAGCTTAAAAATATGGTATATCAAGGTTGTGGACCCTATAGAGGTCACAATTTTTATCTGATTTTGTTGAAACTTGAAATATAAATTTATAACCCAAAGATCTTGGTTCCTTTCGATATTCGCGCATATCGGACCGTAACTTCCTGAATTATGACCCCAGATTGTACGAAAAATCGTGATTTTAGCTTGTGGACCCTATAGAGGTCATAATTTTTATCCGATTTAAAAAAAACCCATATAATTATTACACCGTTACACCCTAAGGACGGCTAAGTTCGAATTTCGTGAAAATCGGCCCAAAACTGACAGACAAAATGGCCGCCCCTCGTTCTCATTTAGCTTTTGTTGAAACTTGAAATGTAAGTTTATAACCCAAAGATTTCGGTTCCTTTCGATATTTGCGCATATCGAATTGTAATTTCCTGAATTATGGCCCTTGATTGTAGGAAAAATCACTTTCTTTTTAGCTTGTTCTCTATCCATCTCTCGAAAATGTGGGCGTATTCTGCCTGGCAGCCGCTAGTTATCCCATTTTGTTGAAACTTGAAATGTAAGTTTATAACACAAAGATCTCAGTTCCTTTCGATATTCGCACATGTTGAATTGTAATTTCCTGAATTATGGCCCTTGATAGTAGGAAAAATCACTTTCTTGTTAGCTTTTTCTCTATCCATCTCTCGAAAATGTGGGCGTATCCTGCCTGGCAGCCGCTGGTTATCCGATTTTGTTGAAACTTGAAATGTAAGTTTATAACCCAAAGATCTCAGTACCTTTTGATATTCGCGCATATCGGACCATAACTTCCTGAATTATGGTCAGTGATTGTACGAAAAATCGCGTTTTTAGCTTGTGGGCGTATTCTGCCTGGCAGCCGCTAGTTATCTGATTTTGTTGAAACTTGAAATGTAATTTTATAACACAAGAATCTCAGTTCCTTTCGATATTCGCGCACATTGAATTGTAATTTCCTGAATTATGGCCCTTGATAGTAGGAAAAATCACTTTCTTGTTAGCTTGTTCTCTATCCATCTCTCGAAAATGTGGGCGTATCCTGCCTTGTGGACCCTATAGAGGTCATAATTTTTATCCGATTTAAAAAAACGTTTTTATATATCACCATTATACCCTACGGATGGTTGAGTTTTATTTGCGTGAAAATCGGCCCAAAACTGACAGAGAAAATGGCCGCCCCTCGTTCTCAAATAGCCTAAAAATATGGTATATCAAGGTTGTGGACCCTCTAGAGGTCACAATTTTCTTCTGATTTTGATGAAACTTGAAATGTAAGTTTATAACCCAAAGATCTTGGTTCCTTTCGATATTCGTGCATATTGAATCGTAACTTCCTGAATTATGGCCCATGATTGTACGAAAAACGCCTTTTTAGCTTGTGGACCCTATAGCGGTCATAATTCTTATCCGATTTAAAAAAAAGTTTGAATATATCACTGTTACACCCTAAGGTTGGTTGAGTTAGAATTTCTTAAAAATCAAACTAAAACTGACAGACAAAATGGCCACGCCTCGTAGTCAAATAGCGTAAAAATATGGTATATCAATGTTGTGGAGCCTCTAGAGGTCACAACTTTCTTTTGATTTTAATGAAACTTGAAATGTAAGTTAATAACCCAAAGATCCTGGTTCCTTATATTCGCACATATCAGATAGTAATTTTCTGAATTATGGCCCCTGATTGTATGAAAAATCGCGTTTTTAGCTTGAGGTCCCTCTAGAGGTCACAATTTTTATCTGATTTAAAAAAAAATGTGTTAATATATCACCATTGCACACTAAGATCTTCGATCCTTTTGATAATCGCGGTTACCCGAACTTAACTTCCTGGATTATGGCCCCTGATTGTTCTAAAAATGGCATTTTTAGCTTGTAGATTCTCTAGAGGTCACAATTTTTTTTCCATTTTTAAAAACCGTTTAAATATTTCACCATTCCACCATAATGAAGGTTGAATTTGAATTTCGGGAAAATCGAAATGAAACTGCCCAACAAAATGGCCACTCTTTGTACGCAAATTGTGTAAAACTATGCAATACGAAGGTTGTGGACCCTCTAGAGGTCACAAGTTTTATCTGATTTTGATGAAACTTAAAACATATCTTTATATCCCAAAGATCTCAGTCCTTTTTGATATTTGCGCATTTCAGACCATAACTTTCTGGATTATTGCCCCTGATTGTACAAAAAATCACGTTTGTTTTTAGCTTGTTCTCTATCCATCTCTTGCAAAATGTGGGTGTATCCTGCCAGGCAGCCGCTGGTTAGCTTGTGGTCCCTCTATAGGTCACAATTTTTATGCGATTAAAAAAACGTTTGAATATTTCAGCGTTTACACCCTAATGACAGCTGAGTTAGTATTTTGTGAAAGATCTTGGTTCCTGTCGGTATTTGTGCATATCGGATCTTAACTTCCTGAATTATGGCCCTTGATTTAACAAAAAATTGCTTTTTGTTTCGCTTATTCTCTATCCATCTCTTGCAAAATTTGGGAGTATCCTGCCTGGCAGCCGCTTGTTCTATATTAGAATGGAATTTTACAGCTTTTAATGGCAGTCAAGTGCTATTTGAATTCATATATCTATTGTAAGCTTATATATTTTACAGGTTCATTGCTTGAAGCAGCAAAGCAAAAGAAAGATGAAAGTATTCTTATTCACATAAGAGACCAGGACTGTGTAGCTATTGAAGTAAAATATCATCGTGTATGCTATAAAAATTATTGTAGATTTCTATTTGAGAAATCTCCACATGGCAGGTAGGCTTAATAATTTTTTCCTACATAATATTTTCTTATCTCCGCTCCATTTTTGTAAGAACTGTCTTTTCTTACACCCTACATGGATAATGACAAAGAAAGTGAATATGGTAATGAGCATAATGCTTGACCAATTACTGTGTTTCTTATATGATGTGTACTTGTTTGTGGTTTATAATTCTAATTACAATATTTTATATTTCAGTGCTGTTAATGAACCAGATCAACTTTATTCTGGTATCTATGCTATATTTTGTGAAGATGTGTTACAAAAGAAATTGATAGATAATCAAGAGATATTACATATGACAAAGTTAACAGAGATGTTTAACAATATAATTAAAGATAATGTTGGTGAAAATACAAATTTCATCAGGTATTTATTTAATTCCTCTTTTATGTTATTGCCGAAGTATACAGACTGGGCATGCTCAAGTTGTGTTCAGTGGCAAAGCGAGGGGTGGGGGTGTTCCATGACGACAGCCTCCCTTAGGCCCAGTGCCAAAAAATTAAAAGCTCAGTATTTTGCATATTTTTTGTTGCTCTCTGTAATTTTCTTGTGCCATAGGCGCTAGATTCCATTGTGTCATCATTGTTCAAGTCCGCTGGCTGTGGTCTTACACAAACACTCACTCAGGCAGAATTGACAGGCATATTTCTAGATGCTGTCCTATTTCTGATATTTTCGTTCACAAGAATTTGTTCCCAACAATGACCTAAAATGCCACGAAACTGAGTCAAATTTTCAAAATTTTCCTTGGGGGATTGAACCTGTCTGAACCCCCCCCTTCAAGGTTGCTCGCTCATACACCAGATCATATAAGCAGAATTTTGCTACTATACTTTACAACTGTTTAATACTTAAAACTATGGTCTTTGTTGTATAGAAGAATATCATAATTCTACAATGTGTGTTGAGTTACATCAACATTTGATTATTACAAAATGAAACTTTTTGAAAAACTCTCTTTTACTATCTTTTCAGGACTGTTTGATTGAAATATAGAATAAAGAAAGACTTCCTTCAACTAACTTTCTATTCTCAGCCTAGAAAAAATTTGAGTGAATTAGTGTATATAGAATCCTTGCCAGCAGGGAGTTTCATGGAAACACTTCGATTTTCATCAACTGATAAGAGTACTGGTACTGATGAGAGTGATGTTGGCCTACAGCCACAACCGATTAAAGTATTTGATGTTAATCAAAAAAATACACTTTTTGATGCTTCTCTTATTATTAAAAGGTCATTAGCAGATAAACCAGGAATGGCATGTCCATGCCCACCAACATTTTCAGACCTTAATATGAAAAGTGCACTGGATATTGTACCCTTGGAACTATTTAATTTTATGTTGTGGGTCACAGGATCATCAGAGGAGCCCACCTTAAGTGAAATGGTTAGTGTTTCAGACGATATATACCCTAAAATTCTATCTATATGTCAAGATATAGTCTATTTGGCATCAGGTGGCAGAAAACAAACACCTAAAACACTCAGTCTTGGCTTAACAACCAGGCATATTACCGGTTCTTTGTAGTTACTGACAATTTTACACAAACTTGGTCATTGTTCATCAACTTCTACAATTATTGGCTTTGAAGCAAGTTTAGCTGAGTTACATCTTTCTACACAAGGCAGTATTCAGAAAGGATTCGGACGCTCCATTCCTAATATATTAATTTGGTACACCATTGACTTTGTGGAAGAGACTTTGTCTGGAAAGGGTACAACACACCATACAAATGGAATCCTGATACAAAATAAAGTGATGACATCAGAAACGGATAAACGAAGAGAACTTTCCCTACCAAGGGGTCAATGTACATTAAAAGCAAAGCCTGTCACATTGAAATAGATGTGAAGTATTTTTTAGCCAATCTAAAATCGTCAAACAGTCTGGATTTATCTTTTATTATCTTGAATTTTTAACAAGTAGCTATGATGATCATTTACCGGGATGGACTGGTTTTAATTGTGAAATAGATTCAACCATTTTTCCAAAATCTGCTATTCACTATATGCCTGTAAACGAAGCATCTCCAACTGACATGACCACAGTGTTTCTGTTGCTGACTGTTTCCAACTTTCCAATATATTACTTGTCTTTGATCAAGCTATATATGCAAAAGCTCAACAGATCAGATGGAAGGACCCTGAATTGAGCAAAAGAAAGACTTGGTGAGTTCCATACCACTATGGCCTTTTTGGCTATAATTGGAAAAGTGTATAAAGATGCCAGTTTGCAAGATATATTGATAGAATCTGATTTAGTGGCCCAGGGCTCAATTAATGGAGTAAATAAACATGCATTATGCAAGAGCTAAATCTGCCTATTGTAGGTCTTTCTTTAGGCCTGAAATGTTTTCTAAAGTATTAATTAGACATTAATTAACTGATCCAGGCCTTAATCAACTCTCGATGGCATCAGATTTCTCCGATATCAAATAGATTAGAATGGTTCAGCGATACTTTGATTTAATCAAACATGGAGGACCGAGACTTAGCTTTGATCAACCAGTACGGTGGTTGAAATTATTGCACACGTCTGTCAAACCTTCAAAGGCTAATATCTTCGCTTGCAATAGAGTCAGATTTCTCCGATATCAAATAGATTAGAATGGTTCAGCGATACTTTGATTTAATCAAACATGGAGGACCGAGACTTAGCTTTGATCAACCAGTACGGTGGTTGAAATTATTGCACACGTCTGTCAAACCTTCAAAGGCTAATATCTTCGCTTGCAATAGAGTAATTTGAATGAAATTTTCAAATTATTCATTTTACATCATCTACTTTCGAACTATTATAGCAAGAATGGCTAGTTCTTTATCTAAATCTTACATAATTGACACCATTATAACCGATCATTTCGTGCTCATAAACTATTATATGAAGCATTGCAACGACTACGATTTTCAATGTTCTTAGACTCTTTGGATGAAAATGATGTAATTCCTAACCAAAAGGAAATGACTAATTTAGAATTGGCATATGGTACAAAAACACTAAGTGAATACTTGATTACCGAGGATTGTAACATGCCTAGGGGTGAATCTTGCGTTTTGATTGGTTGATTAGACACTGTCGATTGGACAATAACACCCCTCTAAATTAGAAAAATCACTGCATATTAATATTATGTGTACTACTTTAATGGAGATAACCACAATGGAGACAATCAATTTTGATCTCGGTACATTAGATGAAATATTTGGAAATATGTCCGAAGATGAACTTGAAACGACAACCCCCTTGTCAGGTAAAAGCCACAAACAACAAAATATACAATAATCTATTACAAAGACATAAATTTTATTTTAAAGAAATACTTTTAAAAAATGAAGTGAGAATTTTAGTTTTTTGTGTGTCATACTCATCATTCTGCTACTATGGCAACCAATAAATTTTGTATTTGTGTTTGTTAAATTAAAGAGGAAAAAAAAAACACATTCAATCAACTAAATTAGTGGAAAGTATATCAAAGTCTTTTAATAAAATCACAAAACACAATTAAGTTCCTTTTCCATTCAGGTACTGCACCAATTGTTCAACACAATAGAAACGATCAAAACACAGTGTCTGTTATTTCTGCCAAATCCTGTTATTTCTGCCAAATCCAGTGGCAGTAAACACTTTGTATCTATAAATCAAGCAGATATCAGTAAACTTGTTGACGATCAAAACACAGTGTCTGTTATTTCTGCCAAATCCAGTGGCAGTAAACACTTTGTATCTATAAATCCAGTAGATATCAGTAAACTTGTTGACAATTCCTTGTCAAAGGCGACAGCCAGAAACACCACCTGGGGAATAAAATTGTTTGAACGTAAGAAAATGCATATTTATTCAGTAAATAGCCTTTAAAAATTTCAGAATTCCAACGGCTATTGTCACCAAAAAAGAGTTACTTCCCGTGCTTATTTATGGCAATGTAAACAATGTAGCCTTGATCTTCAAGTACAGATCAGGACACGATGTCTGCCGTGGCTAGCAAAATGATATTGTTTTCACTACTATTAGTACTATCGAGTTCTTTGAAGCCAGACCACTTGTCATAATGCAATTTTCTGGCCTGGTTCCCTCTTGTCAGTGATGCAGGACGGAGGGCCTGACAAGGACAGCTGTCTAGTCATTCGGATGAGACGAAAAACCGAGGTCCCGTGTACACATTGGCGTGCACGTAAAAGATCCCTTGACAGTTGGAATTCGATATAAGAGTAGGCCGTAGTGCTGCTGTCCGGGCAAAATTTCCCTCATAGCACACTGTATGGCGTATGCCCGTCTTCATTAGCCAAGTTCGGAGCGAAACAGTAGGACGTTAAACCCCATTTCATTTCATTTTCATTTCATAATGCAATTTTATTCACAAGCTATAATAAAGACAAATACATTTTTTATTTTTAAAAAATGCTTAAATGCTAGATTTACTTATTCTTTTTCGACTCTAGTCAAGTGGTTAACAAAATGAATAAACCAGCGGCTACCAGGCAGGATACGCCCACATTTTCGAGAGATGGATAGAGAACAAGCTAAAAAGAAAGTGATTTTTCCTACAATCAAGGGCCATAATTCAGGAAATTACAATTCGATATGCGCAAATATCGAAAGGAACCGAGATCTTTATGTTATAAACTTACATTTCAAGTTTTAACCAAATTGGATAAAAATTGTGACCTCCATAGGATCCACAACCTTGATATACCGTATTTTTACCCTATTTGACAACGAAGGGCGTCCATTTTGTCTGTCAGTTTTGGGCCGATTTTCACGAAATTTGAACTCAGTCGTCCTTAGGATGTAACGGTGATAAATAAATACGTTTTTTTAAATCGGATAAAAATTTTGATCTCTATAGGGTCCACAAGCTAATTCAGGAAGTTAAGGTCCGATATGTGCGAATATCGAAATGAACCAAGATCTTTGGGTTATAAGCATACATTTCAAGTTTTAACCAAATCGGATAAAAATTGTGACCTCTACAGTGTTTACAAGCTAAAAACGTGATTTTTCGTACAATCAGGGGATTTACGCTCATTCTCAATAAAGGGGTGCAATTGATAGAATAAAGTGTCGCTGATTATTAGACGCTATTCCTAATTATATTAAGTATGGATTCCTCGTTGCCTTATATTAGGCATACATCACTCTTTCAGGAACACATAACAATAAACATGTCAACTGATTACAGTGACTACATTACTCAACAGAATATCCTAAAATGTAACATACGTTAATGTCGCAAACCATACTAGTAAATTTCAAAGCGCTCTAAATAATATATTTCTACTTGATAATATTCAAAGGATGTGGTTGACGCATAGAATATATATTGATGAATGTTAGAAAT